TTGTTGCTATCATAAATATTTTTTACCCGGAACGTTATAAATAAAAACTCCTTGAACTAGTCGAACCATATTTTTTAACAGAAAAAGTTGGTCTGTGAAGGCACCTTGAAAGGCAATTTATTACTTCCTGTTCTGTTTTATTTGGGAACTCGGAACTCGGACTTGGAGGATGTTTAAATAAACAACAAGATACCAGGGTATCTCGTGGATGTTAGATAAAATAGATATTTAGCTGCCAGCTTCACAATTGACTGCTTTGCTTCAGTCATGACTGAAACAAATCTGTCTATGTATGGAAGCCGAGAGATTTATAAATATAGGAATGTACAAAACTTGTTCATAGTTTTCTACAATAACCATTGAAAAATCGTGTTCATAAGGGCTCTCGGTGTTCATCTGTAGATTTTTGATAAGAAGATATTACAAGCGTACTCTGGATCTAGAAACTGGACTGGGTACTGCGGCTTTAATCTCATGGATTTTCTGAAGCGTTGAAGTTATTTTTTGGTTGTATTTATTTTGTTGCCCTTCAGCTTGAGTACTGTCATTTATGGAGCTTTATAAAATATTTGTCTGATTATACGCAATCAAAATAACACTATTTGTCGTAGCACCTTGGTTTATCTCAATGACCCAAAATCCTAGATCTAGCTCATAGATCCGCCAGTGCTGAGCGGAGTAATCCTTTAATAGTATCAGTCTGCGTCTGTGGAAAGCTATTTATGCACTTGTCAATGTGAAAACGCAGATGGAAGTGAACTTATTCTTATGCGTGAGCAAAAAATTGGTCAAGCCCACATGTTTTGAATGAAATCTGAGTAAGTGAATAGTATCATGAAATGACGGCCTATTATAGCCATATACATGCTAGGAGGTAATATAAATTTTGGATATAAATCCACCGGAATTGATTAGATCAGAAGTAAACGACTTCCAATTTTTTAATCACAAGGCTCTTGCACTCCAAAGACCTTTTAGAACCAAACTAGATGTTAGAAACTAACTGAAATAAGGATATGATATAGGATATCTAGTTGAATGGCATACCAATAAACGATGACTCTGGAAAAAGGACAAGGAAAGTAATGTTTTATAACCGGAAAAATTAAATCGAGTATCGAATAATAACCAATACACTACCATTAATCACTGCAGATTTTCCATAAAGAACATCACATGAATTTTTTAATTAATCTCTGGCTGGTCTTAAATATTTGTTCGGTGAGTTCGTTGGAGCCGCCAGCTTGAATTATGAGAATGACGACAGGGAAGCCATATATAAATAAGCCGTTCATAATTGAACGTGGACTAATCTAAAGAACAAAGGACTCTGTTGGTTCGGCTCCCTTGGTTCTGGAAATTCTAGCTCTAGCTCTAGCTCTGATTTCTCGCACATCCAGGCTTGTACCTCATAATAATTTTAATTATCATACTTGGATTAGCAATGGTGGTTTCAATCATTCATATGCTATGATAAAAGACTTGATTCCTTGGACATTTTTTATCATCAGCTGTGTAACTGCCCTTGTATGACTCGATTCAAACGAAGGGTTGTTTAGATAATCCTTGAGCATCAACGATCACTGCAAATGAATCAGGAGGTCATACGAGTCACTGCTAGTATAGGAATGATAAATTCCAGTGCTGAGGACCAGAAGCCCGGTTTTATTAAAACGTTGTTACAGTGCACATAGATGCACAATCCATCCTACCCCAATGAATACAGAGCTAGCTGGGAGGGATCCAACCTAACCACTCTCATATTTAATGAACAAATAGCAACCACAAGGTATTTTAGAAACTGTCGATAAGTTCCGTGGCCACCCCTAGCTGCCTCGTGTAGTTATGAGATTTTAGAAGCAAAAAATAGGCCGTGACATACGACATTGACTTTCCACACAACTAATAAGAATTCATCCGATAAGGAAACGAAATAAAAAACAAGTCCCAGGAACATGCATATCTATTCCCCAAATTATTGAAAAATCATTGTTCATGGCTTTGCTTTGCATTGCGGTCTGCACCTTCAACACAAATTTTAGGCTTTTTGTTGATCTGCAAACATTCCGTCTTTCTCTATTGCACAATACATTGCGTTTAAAAATACCTAATACTAGACTCATACAACTTCATACTTGCAAAAGTGAATGAAGTTACAAAACAGGCAGCAAATCATTCAACAATACACTAGGGTCACACTTTAGCCAATGCATATAATGATTCATCAAGTTACTCATAAGATTACCTCGCTACCCCTCACCACTAACCCCGCTTCGCCCATCAAACCCCTCAAAAGTTTAGCGAGAATGAACTACCGCTCAGTCCCTATTATATAAGCACCATGTAAATTAATCCATAATACACCCCTTAGAAATTGTTCTTAGCGTTCTTGAAGTCAGTACTCACGAGATATAAAAATGCAAGGTATTGATATCTGCATCAGAAGCATTTATTTGGATATTTAAGCTCCACACTCTCATCTTAATTTCTATTATAGTAGGTTATCGATGTATTTAAGATAAAATTTATATTTTTGCTGTTGTGAAATATATTTCATATTGATCTTATTTATCTCATATATCAATTATTAAAACAAATTACATTTAATTATAAATACTAACATATCCTCAAAAATTGTGACGACAGAACTAATACATTTATGAATGGTATTTCCATCTATATTTGCTTGGATTTGTGCCCGCTTATTTGTACGCAAGAATCTTGCTCATCAAGCTGGATTTTATATAATCGACTCGCTCGTCAAAGTGAACATAGGGACGGGTGGTGCATGGGCCATGGAAGCTTGCCCTAATAGGCCATTTTTTTCAATACATAGAAAATGATCCAAGATGAAGGCATGGAAAGTGTACTTCAGTTGTATAAAAGCAATACTCTATGAGAGGTTTGTAAAAGAAAACGCGAAGTTGGCCTTGGTGGAATGCGAATACAGGCAGCCCTTGTGAAATAGAAAGAGTGTTTGACCATGCGCTATTATTTTGCGAGTGATTTTTTGTCTATTTAGAGCGGGAGCAAGCATTGTGAAGGAAATATAGTAAAATATGTCCTCATCTCATTACATTACCGCTATCGCCCTTCCAAAATAACTGTCAATGATAACGGCAACCACCGTCGCTCTTGATGTTATTTCATCACTCAATATCTAAGAATATCTCAATACTTTGATTCCATAGAGTGCTAATGGATAGAGGGACCCCAGTGCATAACGAAGTCGTTAATATGGCTGGGGGCTTGCTCGAGTTGGGAGTATGCCTCTGAGCACGAGTAGATGATGACAGTGTCACTGCATCTGCTGAGACTACGAAACGCAACTACATCACATCCCATTACATCACATCACATTCCACAATCCTTTCCAACCGAAGACAGGACTTTCAAATCAACCCTCAAGATCCAAGTATAAAAACCTTTGAGCGTCCGAAGCAGAGCAGTGAATAGGTAGAATGATCTTTTATGGGGATGACTAAAGATAGGTATGGACAACCAGTAGGCCCAACCTCTGCATATTGTCATATAATAGCATGATTAACTTCACCAGTTAAACTCTAGTCATATTCCTATTTATAGCCGCCAGGATCATCGAAGACAAGGAGAGTGAGGATCTATCACATTGTGTTTCGAGAAATGGTGAAAAAAACACCAATAATGTCGTAACCATGACGAAAAGCTGCGGTATGGAAAACCTGTTCCCTATGATCATACAACATTATCCAACCATGCTGGCGTCATCAATACTAGGCACTCAATGAAAACATACTCCTACCCGCGCATGTAAGCAATTGAAATGCGAGATCCTTTAGCCTTTCGCTTATGACTGACTGACTTACAGCTCTCACTTAATTTTAATCAAGCTTCTCCAATCCGAGGAACCGAACGAGAGATTCCAACCCGAAGATTCATCCAGCTTTGAGAATCTCTATAAACAAACCTCATCAATATTCGACTCTGATGCTCCAATCTCCGAACAAGAATCAGCAACCCACTGCCCAGTGATCGTCAATTCTCCAAAATAGGATCTGAAAAGCGAAAAGAAAGTTCTTCTTCCGCTGACATGAATGAATGCCATTGCCTTTCTAGAGCAGAAAAGGTTCTCATGCGGGTACTTGCCCTTAATTATATTTCCATCTCTCTCCTCTCCTCTCTTTCTTTCCATTTCATCTACTTAAGCAACCGCCTCACAATATAATAAGTCCCTCACCTCCTTCAAATTCCTCCACATTTCCCTCAACTTAACTCAGCATCTAAAATCCAAATGCAAATCTAAATCCAAGTCCAAGTTCTATCTCCCAATCTCATCCCAACCTCAAAAACACATATACAATTTCTCCGTTCTCCATTCTCCCAATCGCAACCCCCAACCAAAAGAAAAAGTAATCCATCTCTCATCTCTCATCCAATCCTATAAACTATCAATAATCCTTCCTTCCTTCCATTCTCACGCCATCAATCACACCATCACACCCCCATATTCCTCCTCACTTCCATTTATAAATTAAGCTTAACTAACCAACTCCATCAAATATCGAGCTTCCTGCTTCTTTCTTACTTCGAATTTCAAGCTCTAGCTCTAGCTCCAGTATCTCACTACACCAAACCAAACCAAATCAAACCACAAAAACCAAAAAACAACATTCAACTAGCTATTCACATATCAATTCCCTAATCTCCTAATTTACGTTAATTTACAACAAATATATATTTACGTTTACATTTACATTTACATTTCCATATACATATAAATATAAATAAATATTTATAGTGTTAATCCATAGAGGAAGACTCATCTATCTATCCATCCACTCATCTATCTATTCGCCTTCCTGCTTTGTAAATTATCCATCCAAGCAGGCCATCTAGCAGTCCGAGTCCGAGTCCGAGACCATTAACCAGTTCCCAGATAATCAATCAATCAACCTGCCATTTATATGGATATCCATCCATCCATCTATCCATCCATCCATCTATCCATCCATCCAAGTGCCCACTGAATGAATCTACACCTCTATCTAACCAGATCTCATCTAATGATCTAGTACTGTGGCTAGAAGAGCTCCCAGCCAGAGGCCTTTCTACATATGTCCCCATCTTGGCTCTAGTGAACTTTTGTCTTGAACTTTGTGTTTAATCGGCGGTGGTGATTTTTTGCGCAGCATTTTTATTCAACTGCTGTACAATAGTATTCCTCCTCCACCCTCACATCAAGCACCCACCTCACCTCCAGCACTCTCCACCAACCTTCGTCTCCAATCATCACAAACCTGTTCGAAACCACCCACGACACCTCTACAAACTCCCGCACATTCTCTATCACCCAATCTCTTCTGCCAATCCCCACTTTCTACCCATTGTTCTCCTTCTTCCCTTAATTCTTCATCTCTTCTCATTTCTGCTACTAATTCTTTCGCTGATTTCAATTTCCTAGACGCTGTCACTGTAGTTTGTCGAGACATATGAAGGGTGTCGGAGAGATATGTTATTGTTTGAACCAAATCGGTTGTTAAGGAGTGTAAAGAGGTGATGGAGGTAAGGGATGCGGCTGTAGGGCGAGGAATCGAGTCACTGAGAGTGTCCAGTAGGGGAAGGAGTGTGTCGATAAATTCTGGAGTTGGAGGCGCAGAGAGAGGGGAGAATAGAGGATGGGAGAGGTTTTGAAGTAGCCGGGTTTGGTGAAGTAGATGTGTTGATAGGGCTGTGTGGGTTGTTACTAGCCTTTGATCTGAGTTAGTATATCTGTATCGTATAGATGAGACATCTCCCACTGCTGCTAAGGAAGAAAAGGAAAGATGTAGAAAACCCAACAGAAAAGTGCAACAAACCTAGTAGTATTCCCCTCCACTCCTGACTGACCCCCCAAATCCCTCAAACTCTCAATGACCCTCTTAACAACCCCATCAGCTTGACTTCCATTATTTTCCGTCCCCCTCCTTGCCAACCCCTCCACCATATCCATCCTTGCTAATAACGCCGGTCCAAAAGCTGGACTCTCCAAATCTGAATCTCCTCCATAATCACTTCCATCATATTCACTTGGTGTCCTCGCATGACCCAAAGCATGAATTCTTCCATGACCACCTACCGGCGGCGTTAAATTTAGTAGATTTGGATTTATTACTCCTTGTTGTTTCTTCGGACTCGTTACATCAACACCACTATCCCTGACTGGATGATTGTTTTCTCCTTCCCTATCTTCATTATCTGAATCCGAAGCTGCCGTGTTTTGAAAATTAAGATCCCCTTCTTCTAGTTCTTCGCCTTCGTCCTCGCTCCACGCATCTGCCAGTTCGTCTGCAAGATTTCCAAGTCCATTTCCTCCATTTTGCGCAGATCCTAATACGTCCATTCCTATACCAACGCTGTCAACACTAGCACTAAAATCTCGAATCATATGATTTGGTGTAGTCGGTGTGTGTATGGAAGATTTTGAAAGTCTGCGAGAAAGGTTTATATTTGAAGGAGAGAAATCTAATGCGGAAGGTTGTCGACTATGTATGGGAGTTCGTGGTGATGAAGGCATCTTGACTGATATAGAAGTATATTCTACCAGTTTATCTATCGTTCGTAAGAAATTCCGTGATTCTAGGATCGTTGCGGTGTACTCTATATTGATTATTCTGAACGATGCGAGTATGCGATGAGTAACCCTTGACTTGAAGTCGTCTAGAATATATCCAGTAGCTTCTCCTATTCCAGTTTCTAAAACAAAAACTATTGTCGATCTGCAATCTGAACCAATATTTGTATTCCTAGAAAGCCGTAGCGAAGTCGTAGTTGAAGTCTTAGACCAATTCGTAGAATAGAGTATGTATGAGTCTGACTCCGCGCACCAAATTAATTGCTATGATTGTTTGTTTAAAACATGGCAATCTTCCTTTTTCTTCTTTAATGTGTTGTCGACGTGGAAATCCAAAGATAATTGAACCTTGCTATACCATCAAACGATATACAAGATCAACAGGGTATTCCTCAAATGTTCTATCAAATCTCGCTTTTATTATTATTATGAACCAGCGCAGCCATGTGTTGTTGCGGACCGTGCAATGGAATGGAATGGATTTGGCGAGGGACGAATTGATGGGCCCTTGAATTCTAATCCTTATCGTGAAGAGGAGGTGATGAGGTGGACATTTGTATGTTGTCGAGGATGTGATTGTTTATTGTTGTAAGACTTATGATAAATTTATGATAAATGTATCTATGAATGTGTTATGATCAAGATGTAAGTCATGCAAAGTTCAAGCTATTAACAAGCAAATTCCTTGTCGTGGTTGAATTTCTGATGTGTCGTATCAAACTATCAATGACAATCGGTAAGTACATGATGATGGCGGTGAGAAATGGCAATATATTTTTTGGCTCGAAGTAAAGAGAGAGTTGGTCTCCATGAGGGACAAATTCTCTCCCATATAAATCATCATAGCTTCAACGTACTTTTACCAACACCATACACCCTAGACCACAAGATATAAACGATAAGCCAAACCCTACACCATACACTTCTCCTCACCATATCGAAAAGAAATCCAAAAGTCCAACCTCGCCCAGAAACCTACAAAACCACCCCTCCTCACCAAAAATGACAACCCTCAGACCCTTCTCCGCCCTCGACGTCCTAAAATTCAACCCCACAAACCTCGACCCCCTAACCGAAACCTACGACCTCTCATTCTACTTCTCCTACCTAGCCCAATGGCCGCACCTCTTCACCGTAGCCCTCTCCCCCTCCTCCACCATAACCGGCTACATAATGGGCAAAACCGAGTCTTCCCCCCAGCCCATGCTACTCTCCAAATCTCCCCACTACCTACCATGGCACGCACATATTACCGCTCTTACTGTTTCTCCATCTGCGCGTCGCTTAGGACTTGCGCGGACATTAAGCCAAGTGTTGGAAAAGGGTGGAGAGGAATATGATGCTTGGTTTGTGGATTTATTTGTTAGGAAGAGTAATTTGATTGCGCAGGAACTTTATAAAGGGCTTGGGTATAGTGTGTTTAGGACGGTGAAGGGGTATTATAATGAGTTTGTGGGGGGAGAAGAGGTAGATGAGGGGGAGGGGGAGGATGCGTTTGATATGCGGAAACCGTTGAGGAGGGATAAACATTTGAAACATGTTAGGGAGAATGGGGAAAGTTTTGAGGTTATGCCGGAGGATGTTTGGTGAGATGGTGAGGTGCTTGAGATTTGGTTTGGGAATTGGTTTACGGGGTCTGGAATGAGTGGAATTGGAAGGAAAGCGGTTGAGATTTATTTCTCCTGCAAGTAATCCGGCCGGGAGCCTAATTGGGAGGGCAGGATGTCGATATTCTGATATCCTATGGAATATGAGGTAGAGAGCATCGGGGGCCATAATACATGGATGATTATGTACTTATATCTTGGGATAGTCCATTCATAAAGTCGCTCTAAAAACATAATGGAATTCCCTCCTTCCACAATGGTTGTCCGATGAAAGTATGTGATGGTGATTTCCACAGGATATACAAGCACCAAAAAAAGACACATAAAACAAACATTTAGTTAGCTCAGCCCAATACCCGGAACCACAAATACACAACTTAAAACCTCACAGCTGAATGAATGAATAAGTAGTCATCCCAGTCGAGTCACTCTGTGTAAATGATGTGATGATAGGATTATGATAATAAAACAAGAACATGACATAACATTGTATAAGTATTAGAAGCTGAGAAGTTAAATATTAAAAGAAACTAAATAGCTAGCTAAAGTAATCTTACAACTATAAGGATAATCATCCGTCCACCTCATCTACTAATATCAAGAAAAATCCACCTTGAAGAAGCTCAGAAATATCCGCTGTTTCTCACATCCACTAGTCAAGCATCAAAAAACTTAAACACGTAAATTCCGCGTAAATTTCCTCCTTAATTTCGCCTTTGTAATCTAGGACCTAATACCCCACCCCAAAACTCCCACATCTCCCCTCCCCCAACCCCGCCATTAACTACATAACAATCCGCCTTCTGCAATCCACACTTCGTCAAAGCACTTTCATACGAATCCCCTCCCCCTACTCCACCGCCATAAGAACAACCCACCGCATAAGTCCCCACACAAGCCTCATACTGCACATCACACGCATCCCTACACCCAGCCCCACAATCCGGTCTCTGGTAACTGGGACTATCTTCTGAGGATTTGGCTGTGTAAAGTTTAAAAGGGTAGCCGGAGGAATAGTCTGGTTGGAGATTATTGCATGTGTAGCATGGGAGGGGGATAGATCCGACGGGGGAAGAGGAGGAGTAGCCTTGTGGGGGGTTGTGGGGTTGTGTGCAGATGTTGCTGCAAGTTGGGAGGGGAGCAATGGATGATGTTGATGTTGTGGATGGTGTGGGTGTGGTGGTTGTGAGGATGGTGGTGGGACAGGTGTATATACTTGTTATTGTGCTAATGGCAGGTGGTGTATACCCTGGTGGTGGATACTTGGCTATATAACCGGTATTTGAACACGAAGATCCAGGACAATAGCTCAAGCAGTAAGAAGAGATTTGTTGACACCAGGTAGAAAATTGTAGACATTGAAGAGATCCCGGAAACCCGGCAGAAAGAAGACAAGATGTTAGTTGTACGAGACAAGTATTTGAAGCAGTGAAACAGGTGTTTTGATCACTGAATGGTGGCAGTGGATTGGAACACCAGTTTCCGACTTTGTATTCACAGGTTGGTGATGGGGTTATGTTGCTTGTGGATGTGCAAAGTGTTGAACTCGTTTTTGAGGTGGTGGGTGAGGGAGTTGTGATAGGTAGTACTGATGATGAGGTAGATGGAATTGAAGTTGTGGATGGTTTGGCTGATGATGAACTTGTTGATGGTGAAATAGGAGTTGTTGAGGATGTCGGAGAAACGTAAGTTGACGATGACTCTGTGGTTGTTGGTGGTGAAATGGGAGTTGTTGTGGAAGTAGGAGCAGCTGATGATAAGGTTGATGATGTAGAAATGGTAGTTGGGGACTGAGGAGTAGAAGAAGATTGAGGAGTAGAAGAAGATGAAGGAGTGGAAGAAATTGTAGAATAAATTGTAGAGGAAGATGATCCTGGAGATGTCGGTCCCGAAGTTGAGGATGTTGAAGATGGATAAGCAGATGAAGTTGATGACTAGAAGATCAATCAGTCAGTAAAATTTATGAGAAAGAACTCGCGTAAAATTGAGAGATTAAAGCTATAGTAGAAATAAGATGAAGGGGTATTGAGGAATACAAAGATGGACTTGCTTCCAGGAATAGAAGTGGATGTTATAGAGTGCGAAATTTGACTTGATTAAACTTACCGATGATGACGCTGGGGCTGACGAGGTGGGAGCTGAGGGATACGAAGGAGAAGATGAGGTGGGAGCTGATGAATAAGAAGAAGATGAGGCAGGAGCCGACAAAGAGGAGGAAGACGATGAAGCTGGAGTTGATGAATATATTGAAGAAGATGAGGCAGGAGCAGACGAAGAGGGGAAGATGAGGCCGGAGCTGAGGTGGAAGAATGGAGAATCAGAAGAGATGAGGAAGAATAAAAAAATCGAAAAAGAAGAAGAAAGAATAAAATAGGACATGATGGCGAAAAATCAGTGAATGACGAAAAATGGGCTGAAGAATCAGACGAAGAAGATGATGCTGGAGCCGATGTATAAGAAGATGAGGTAGGAGCGGACGAATGGGAGGAAGCCGATGATGCTGAGGCTGATGAATATGACGAAGAAGATACCGGAGCCGAAGAATAAGGAGGCGGCGTATAAGGCGGAGGTGAATATGGTGGTGGTGAATAAAATGGGGTTGAAACCGCCGCAGATGAACTGGTATCAGTCGACGAAGAAGAAGATGGATAACTCGAACTAGATGAACTAAAAGTCGAACTCAAAGTCGAACTAATCGTCGTTTGAATGGTTGAAGAAGCCGGAGAAGAAGCAGAAGTAGATGAATAAGAACTCGCCGAAGAAGACGATGACGGACCACCTGGATTACCATTACAAGGATCCGTCGACAACAAATCTTTCGCGACGTATAGGTAAATATTAGCAGCACCGCCGCATAACTCTGTCGTGTTTCCATTGCATGTCATTTGACAATTTGACTCATCGACTTTGGCAGTTCCATTACCGAGAACTACACCACAATAACATTCTTGTGAGTATTCTACTCCTGCGAAAGCATATCCTCTTTCTTTACATGCATGAAGACATGCTTCAATTGTCAAATCGGCATTGGGGATTTGATCTTGTTTCCAAGCGAGGGTGCGACCGTTGGGTCCAAGATCAGAATAACAACCCATTGCTGAGTAATCTGAAATGGTAGTGGTATCGACTATAGGAAATGTGGTATCTTGATAGACAGAGAGGATATCATAGCCACCACAAGATTCATTCTTATTTCCAGTGCATGGGAATGAACAATTTGACTCTGCAGTTTGTGGGCCACCAACAGAGGCACCGCAAAAGCACTCGCCATAACTGTGAGAAGATTAGTTTCGTATTTTTTCAATTAGGAGAAAATATCTAATTATTGTTCTTTCCGGAGTGGAAGATACTTACTATTCCAATCCAGCATATTTATACCCATTGCCTACAATTCACCAGTCGTCAGTTCGCCCATGAAGAAATTTGAGATAGCATACCTTTGCAAAAATCAACGCAAATTTCAACTGTCATATTTTGACTATTAATATTGGTTCTAAAAAGCAAAGCACTTGGATCACTAGGATCTATGAAGCAACCAGCATAAACAAAATCTGTGGTATTTGTGCATGTTGGAAGTTCTGGTGCCCATCTTTCAGCTAGAAGAGGACTGGCATTGGTCCTTGAAAGGAGTGTGAAGAGTGCCGCAGCGGTTGAGAGTGAGTTAAAGCCCAGCATCTCGAATTGCGGGAGTATATTGACAGAAAGGAGTAACTAATGCCGAAAGAGGCCTATCGAAATCAAAGTAGGATGACTCGAACTACTTTGAGCAGGAAGAAGAATAGATAGTAGAGATGGCTGCGACAATATATACATATCAGAATTCAGAGACCAGTAAGAAGTACAGCATTCATTTAAATAAACTGCGAATCCGGTGCTCATTTGTGGTAGCTACCCGTTCGTCGTGCAAATTATCCATGCAGTTATTCCTAGTACTGACCACAACATTTATTTGCAGATACAATCGCATGGTGCCTGCATGGTAACAACAAAATATAAGTCTTACAATGTTGGAAGTTATAGATAGCATGATAAAAGAAAAGTCTAGACAAGGAGAGAATAGCTATATTCTAAATTCCGACCAATGTACACTTGCTCGGCTTTTCCGCTGGCCGAGGGAAAGACAGACATATTTCCTAGATCTAATACGTATACGCATCTCGGCAGGATTATCGTCATTTATCACGAGTGAAGAATGTGGATGACCTTAGATGGCAGAGGCACGATAAAATTTTCTTCCCATTTCATCTGTAGAACATCATTGAACACATTTCTGATCTGAGTACTCTTCGGAGAAAATGGCGTCCTCAAAATACGGTTGACAGAGACAAAGCGCCCATGACAAGTTGATGTATACCTGCAACTCCTTGAAGTTATTCTTGATCCTTTCTGAAAACTTATGATATCGCCCAGAACGCTCAAGTAACATTAACCTGTCTTTCCGGATTGACAAACCCTGTCCTTTTCTCATCCCTTTTTGTGGTTACCACATCCATTAATCAGGAACGCCAGCATAAGATGTCCGACTTGAGATGAAAACCTTGTCGTGAATGTAACCTTATGATGCTTAAACATTTCTAGGTACGTTGACCTCCACTTGGAACTATTGAAATGAAGAAAGCTTTTGCGTATCTTTGTGCGGCTGTTAGAGAAGAAAGTGGAAATTTGTGAGATTATATTTTGTCCTTTCTCATGTATGCTACCGTGAACACAGCAACGACAGAGATCAATATGAAATGACCAATAACTCTCTGGCTGAGGGGTAGAGGACCCGGAAGACCAAACTTTCGCATCATCTATTCCACCTGGAATGACTACTTCGCTCGAAGATGCTGAACTTGTCCTCTAAGCTGTAGCTGCCATGTTAAGATTTCGTGCAACTTCGTTGAACCATGCATGTCATCTTCTCCACACGCAAGGGTCTCATGCTGGTGCTGCTGTAGAACAGTTATTGCTACAGCGGTATCATCAACTTCGTATCCCAAACTTTTTCATTCGTTTTGGGACTCCGCTAAGTTTGTTCTGGCCGTCAAGTGTAAATATTCTTATGCGGGTATTGTGCATCTCTTCTGCATCGTACGCGTTCACGATAAAGAGGGCTGAGTTTGTTTGGATCGTGATCAAAGTATAAAAATTGAAGTTTTCGTTTGGCAAGATTCTGTGGCGGGATAAACATAAAGGTTATGACCATGACGCCAAAACAAGAGCTCCTTTGAACACCTGGGATTTGATATGATATCTGATTCTTCATAGTGATGGAAAAACAGATAGAAATGAATACGTATAGTACTCGAGCGAGTACTTTTTCATTATTTTGAAATTTGAGTACTTCAATTTATCTTCGGTCGCTCTTAGTGTTCTTTCATCTTGAGCTTTCGCCTCAGTGACTTTGAAAGACATTGATGGTGAAGGTATCTCAACTCAGCCATACACGTTCTTGTGCTCTTTCCCAGCAACTCGGACAATCGCGATCAAATTAAAATTGTGTCGAAAATCCTATCTGCTGGAGCTCTTGGAAGCACCAAATGTTCAAATTCAACAAGGATGAAGCAGCTGTGATGATTGATTCATGAACGAAAGAGGTATCCCAGCCGGCAACCCGATGTTACATGACAGGTGCAGATGGATGCGGGATGTAGGAGAAGCAATAGTCGAAGTATGTTGTAAGACTTAGCACGAAAGCAATAATCCGTAGCGGTCGGGAGGTAGGCAGAGCAATAGATAAATATGCATTGTTCTGGTTGTTGGTAGAATCTCATTGTGATACGATAACCACAGAATACCTAGGTAATTGAATTGATGAAGTGGAAATGTAATCTCATGTCAACGAAGGATGATTTTAATGGATTTGCCAAGTATTGAAATTGTTAGGGTTGGGTAGGTTAAGGTTACTCAACTGTGTCACGGTGCAAAAGGGTCTGTGTCGCGTAGAGTAGTGTCGGCCACCACCTCCACCACCTCCATCACTAAAAGTTACAAGAACCTCAAATTTCACATGAGGTTGTAACATGAGGTTATGATATTAAGGTTAATAGCCGTAAGGTCATTCTCGTTATTATTTCTACCCGGCAATTGACCTGCAACTTTCTTCTCCATAAGTCACGTGTCACGTGTCACGTGTCACGTTCAGCCGTGGTCTTCAAGTCATCTTTCTTCACTTATCTAATCTTCTAATCGAGTACACGGAGTAAGAACAGAAACAACGAGCGATATGCTTCACCTCCCACTTTTTACACGCGTTCTTTTGTAGCTTAGTCACTGCAGTCAGCAACAACTAGCCATGCAATGATTCACTTAACAAGGTTGAGAGGTTTCAGCTCAAAGAAATAGAAACTTACGAGCTTAAACATCTTATCTGAGCAGGCAACTAGGATGTCGAAAAATCGGAAGTTGAAGCATCACCACCCACTATAAGTATCGACATTTTACTGCCATGCTCATGCTTCTCCCCAAGACCTAATAATTTTCTATCGGCAAGAAAAGTCTTCCACTCAATTACGGCCATGCATCTGAGACCAGTGACCAGGGATGATTTGTCTTCCATCGCCGACATCGCAAGTGAAGCATATCGGGATGACTCTTTACAAAGGATTTTCTTTCCTCCCAAGGCAGTTGAAAATGGTTCGCAGCGTCGGAAAAGCATGTTACGCATACGAAAACGCCTTGTTGAAGCCAGTACACGTTGTATTGTCTCGGTGAGCGACGAAAAGGATGAATTTTGGTCTGGAAAGCCTGAATTGCTTGGATATGCAAATTGGACTAGAGTGGGCAAGAGCGAAGCAGCGAACAACTGGCAAATTGACAGTTTACTTTCGAGTTTGTTCTCACGAGATTTCGAATCGTCATCTGACTAATTATCAACATAGAATTGGAAAGAACATTAATTACAGCGGAAATGTGGTATACCGAGACTTTCCTTGATCGCGACCTACCATGGGATAAGATACACCACGTGAGAACCTTGACCGCCAATAGCTTTGGGTCAATTCCAGAGTATTTCGAGTTGGCTGGGTTAGCAGTAAGACCTAAGTTTCATCGTCGCGGTATTGGTGGAATGATGTTGAAGTATGGAATCGATTTAGCTCAAGAGGAACAAATTCCTGTTTTACTCCAAGCTTCTGCTGTGGGAACTCGCCTGTACACGAAATTTGGGTTTCAAGAAATACGAAAAACAGAAGTGTTTCCAGAAGTGATAGCTGTGGCTATGCAATTGGATCCGAAGGATTAAATTCTTTTGAATAAATTTTCAAATAAACATCAAATCTGGACCAACGATTGCATATTTTGAGGACTCTCACACGCAATGATTTGTCATTCAGCTGCCAGTGGATTATTTTTCCTTCAATATTGCAACAAAACCTGAAGGTATGACTATCCAACGGCAATTACGCCGATAGCATTAGGTGGAAGGCCCGAATATGCAAATCGTAAGTTATGATTTTCGTTACAATTTATACTTTCAGAAATTCGTCACACAAGCTTTCGTGATTCCTTCTTTCAGTACCACTGAACCTCATACTTTGGCGTATCTTATACTTTATTTCGCAGGTAAGAGTCACAAGACGATTCTCTTAAGCACTCTTTCCATTCTTTCAGGTATTCTATATATCTTTCTCTCCTACTCGTCTCATTTCCACAATCATCATTCAACAAATTTCACAATGACCTCTTATATTAAAAGGCACTGCGAGTCAATCAGTCGCCGTGTCTCACAAGCTGCCCCTTCGAAAGCATCCTCTGAGAAGAAGCCGTCTACCAAAAGACCCCCTTCTGGGACCTCCAACGTGGATGATATGACTCAAGCAGATCAGACTACCTCAAGTACAGGTGTTTTCAAAAACGGAGCGTTGAATGACACATCATCTGAGCCAGCTCACTCTGTTCTCAAAAAAGCACATACAACATCTATCGTGGTTCAAAAAGTAAAGGGATCTCAAAAAGAACCAGGCTCATGTTCAGCAGAATCAACCTTTGTCAATACACCTTTGTCGAAAATATCAACCACATCCCCATCGTCCAATACTCTCCTTAACATCAACAGATCGAACAAAAATGGCCCAGACGAAAAATATCAAATAAACTCTCATCTCCTATTCGAAAACTCTTTCCCAGGCCACACATTCGTCTCCGTACATCTTCAACGCCTACAACATGGTATCTATTCCGATGCCAATTTACATACCAAACATACAATACATGTAACATTCGTTGCTTTGAATTTTACATTCCATCCTTCTACACCTGCACATCGATTCGAGAGTGCGTTTGTTGACATTAAAGTTAAAGATAAAGCGGGATACTTGAGATTCTTAAAATATGCACCACATCAAACTTATGGAAAAATTAGCACGGAGAGTTTAAAGTGGAATTTTCAATTAGGGGCTAGTTTGGGAATTACGCAAGGTCCGGCAAAAGCAACGGTTAATCCTAGTCTTTCGGAGGAGAAGAGTAAAGTCGTGGGAACTATGATGAAGATGTATGTTTTCCCCCCGTTCTTATTTCCTGCATCGTGTGTTAGTTAACACAGAACTCAAAGACAAGGTTCAACACGCAGTACTTTTCACCACTCAACACGTTACCCAGATACCCTCCTCCATTTCTCCCTCGAGGAAAACTGTCAACAGGAATCCGGTCTCCCGCGTGAATTTACATTTGTATTTCTACTCGAACGACCTAGTGAGAAACAATATCCGCCTGTTCATGTATTTCATTCAGCATCTAGGATTAAGAGACTTGAAAATCGTATTTCGGAAACATTGAGGGGGTTGAGTGAGAGAGGAGAGGGGGATGAATGTATGGAATATGGATTGGTTGATTTAGCGGGGGAGAAGAGGAAACCGAGTTTTTTCGGGAAAGGCTCGCAGAGATTGGATGAGGATCTGGAGGGGATTTTTGGGGAACTGGAATTTGAAATTGGGGTTGAGCCTAAGAGTTTGTTTCCTCCCCCCTTCTTCCTTCCACTCATTATCCTTCTCTGAATCACTAACATCCAACCCCCTAGTATCCAACACCCACTCCATCTCCCTCCCGATAACTGCGCACACAGAAACAACTAAAGTCGCAGGAGAAGTAGGACAAAAATTCCCAACGGAGGGAACGAGGGATAGTGCAGGGAAAGAAGAACATGAGGAGGCGATGGTGCATGGACTTTATAATTTTGCGAAGTTGGGTGGGACGTTCGAGGAGTTGGTTTCTTTGCCGGGGGAGAGTGTAGCGAGTAGAATGCCGGATGTGGAGGGTGGGAGGAAGTAGGGGGTAAGGGGGGGGATGAAGAGGATGGTGGAGAGGAGTAAGAACGAAGTGGGAATTAATGAAGAGGGGCTGGTTATGGAGTTATAGGGTGTTTTTATAGAGATATTCTCATACTTACTCTAGTATATATAAGTAGACAAAGGACAACGGATGAAAAGCAAAGATTGTATCAAAATAATTATTTACTTTTATTTTATTATTCTCTCTCTATTCTATCTATCTAGGTACCTATATAAATATCCTCTTTCATTCCACCTCCACCTCCTTCTATAATTGTAAGATCTTATAACCGGCGCCTCTTCCTCTTTCTTTCTATTTTTAAAAAAGCTTTGAGTGATAAGATTACTATGATTATTACTTAAAGATTCTTGCTTGGAGTCTATATTGTATTATCAATGTATGGATCGAGCAGAGTTGCTTTTTCAATCTGGGAAAGTTGAGGCGGGTGAGAGGAATGTTATGATAGTATATTATTTTCTGACTCTACTTTTATTATATACCTTCTTAAGGCTTACAGCTGCCTTCATATTGACACAATGTTCCACTCATGGTAAAAGGAGCGCATGATTGCTTCCCATTGCACTGAAAATCTGTGACAAGGCCTCGTTCTTTGATATGAGGAAATGTATGTTCGGCAAGCGTGCCAAAGATGTGATATCCGCAAAGCTTAATTGAAATGCACATGCGGTTGAAACGCCAACCAGCTTCGTATTCATGATGATGTTTATAAATTTATGGTGGAGGTCTTTGATCTGACTTATCATGGTCAATTTAGTCGTAAAAAATGCATGCATTTCTAAAAAAAAAAAAACAGAATATTTCCCCTTCTAATTAACTAATCTCTGCCGACAGTTGCAGGAATGGCAATCCTTCATGATTCGTCGCAGTTCTCAGATCTAGCTATGAACGAATCGCAGTCATTGGGACTACGGGACAAATGGCCATATATGGATATGAAGCTCTCTTGCCGGGCCTTGTGTGCTTCTTGGTGCAGCCATGCGTATAAAAACTAGGTATTGTGATATACGATTCGGATGAGAGCATTCGAGGTTGCACTTGCATACCGCCATGAAATTTGATGCTTTACGCCTTAGATGCGCATATTATCCACTAACAAGAAGAAAATACATCATTGGTTCAAGAGATATTGGCTCAGACAGTTGTTTGCTCTTGACCACGAGACTTTTGAAAGAAGCAAATTGCATGAGCATGCAGAATTAACTTCCCGGAAGCTTGCTAAGGGATGAATATATCCTCCTAGCCAAGGCAAGTGTGGAATACCGCACCGCTTCAGCTTGGAAGACACGGTAGTTTAAGAGATGCTGAATCCCGATATATATTGATCTAGGATGGAACCCCTTAGTTACACTGCATTCTATATATGCACATGTTGGTTGAATGAATGAAAACCCTGAGATGTGGCTGGTGAAATAGTAATCGGAGCAAACTGTGGCTCATCCGGCTTTGTATGTAAGAGTAACCTTAACCTCGGAAAAGTCTTTTCCATCGAAACTTATCTCCCCGACATTCAAGCCATTCGGCGGTCGTCATCTGTTTTGAATTGCCTCATGTAGTTGATTTACTATTACAGTGTATGCGGTTTTTATTCCAGATCTTACATCCCTCTCAGATCCTTCGATTGGGTTCACATGCGTCGCCACGTCATCGGATATTACCCTTCATCGTCGGAACTGGTTGAACTACCCGATAAACTCTCGGTGGGAAATTCTCGGACCGCGACCAGATTCAATACTTGTCTAACATCGGAGATGAAGAAATAGCCACCAGGAACGTACCATCTTTTCCCCGAGAACTATTCTATCTTCTACCTAGGTGATGCATGATGATGTTTAGCTAGGTAGGGAGAGCAGCGTACACTAGAGAACTGACTTGCCCTCATCCTTAAACAAAATACTTATATAAAGGGTTCAGTACCGTGAATATAAAAGGAGAATCTCAATTTGCTTTTCAATTTCCTATATTTCAAAACAATTTTAACAACATGGGGGTTTCCAATGACATATCAGCTAATATTCCTGGCACGACTCCATATTCCGTGATCGATGGTTCCCAAGAAGCCACTCAAAAGCTGCAGCAATTAGTCGGTGGTGAACTTCCCTCGGAGGTATTGAAACACCTAGAAGACGTTACCTATACAACTGCAACCGATGGCACTCAAATATACTTCCCTTGTCCCTTTAAGGAAACCGAAGCCACAGTTGCATTAAAATCAGTAGAAGCAAGCGTTGTGGCTACCATTGCGGACCTTCGCTATGGAGAACAGAAAAGGAAGATTGAGATCAACCTTGAGCAGACTGCTACTTTCTTATTCTCTACCTACATTGCTACAATTGCTGGCATGAACAAACAGCATCCCGAAGTCAAATCAAAGCTGAAAGGTAACCCTCATTAAAAGCTACCCAGAAACCTTTACTCATGTATTCTACAGACACAGATTTACTCAAAGCACAAGCTATCTTGTATCGAAGGCTTTCGGCAAACCTGTATGAGACAAAAAATCCTGGGGAATATTTTCATATCCATGGATCATTAGAAGCCGGAAAGACATTGAACATGATTGGACTAGAAGCACATCGACCGGATCTTACAGATTATCGAGAATGTATCGACGTTATAGAAAAACATGTCAAGCAATATACTGCTGCCGAATTGGAAGTCATGAATGCTGAGATACATCAGGCTGGTGTAACAGCATTAAAATGGGAGGATTTCAAAAATACAAGCCATGTAAGAATATTTCTGTGACTCTATTGACACTTTACTAAGATTTATTTCAGGGCCAAACACTTCTCAACCTACCTCCATGGCAACTTGATAAACTTGAGGATAATTCTCCATCATGTCCATTTCCAAATGTAGCTCCCGCGACGCCGACTTCAAAACCTCAAGTATTATCTGGTATTCGTGTCTTGGAACTTTGCCGAATTATTGCAGGACCTGCAATGGGTCGAACACTTGCTGAATATGGTGCCCAAGTTATCAAAGTTACATCTCCTAATCTCTCCGATGTTCCATTCTTCCAAGTCGACGGAAATACGGGTAAACACACCGCAGATATCGATATGAAAACTCCAAATGGTCGCGCTATATTTGAGGAATTGTTAAAATCTGCCGATGTGATTCTTGATGGATATCGACCAGGAGCTTTGGAGCGATTAGGATACGGGCCAGAACAAATTGTGAAATTGATTCAAGGGAGGGGTAAAGGAATCGTTTATGTCTCCGAAGACTGTTTTGGCTACCAAGGGGAATGGGCAGGTAGACCTGGTTGGCAACAGATAGCAGATTGTGTTACTGGTGTCGCTTGGGCTCAAGGTCAATTTATGGGTCTTGACGAACCTGTCGTGCCTCCATTCCCAATGTCTGATTACGGAACTGGATGCATGGGCGCTATTGCTGCTCTAATAGGGCTGTATAAAAGAGCTAAGGAAGGAGGTAGTTGGAGAGGCACCACTAGTTTGTGTCAATATGATGTGTTTTTGCTAGGATTAGGATTATACGGGGATGATATAAAGGCCAAGATTAGGAACGATCACGATGACCATTTCTTCGACCTTAGACATTCAGATAGTGTGGATGAAGTAGGTGGAAGAGCATTGAAGAGCATGCGCCGAGCTCATCCAGAATTGTTCGACGAGAAAAATATGCAAAAGGCATATAGCAAGGGTTTCAAGGAGGAGATTCGATGGTGTAGAAGTCCAGTCACTATTGAAGGTTTAAGAGTTGGATTTGACACAGCTAGTCGTCCAAATGGATATGATGCACCGACATGGGATGGTTGGGAGATTGAAGAGGAAGTTGTCGAAGGATAATTGCCTGAAATATAAATCATGAAGCGAATACGATTTTCCTCAAGTGAGAATGACCTCGCTTGTTGTGTGGAACCATCGCTAAAGCAATATAATGCCCCATTCAATATCGCAAGCGCGCTGCATATATTGCCTAAAATCACACTTCCGGAAGCGCGGGATCTCCATTGATATTGCCTATATTATCTGGTATACTATATATAGCCTGTGCAGTCATAGCCACTCCATACCAATATATCGTAGGCATTTTAGCTAAAGTCTCAGTTCCCTTTCATTATTTAGCCAATGCATCGTTCCAAATATAGGAATGTACACTCAAGTAGTAAACCTATTCACGCTGTACACATCAATTTTCAGCCTTGCCTTAGATATCTAGCTGCTTGGCATGGCTCGATAAAGAACCAACTCATAGCTTTTGTTGCAAATCTATGTTGAATGTTTGGAGCCGAGCATGACATGGCTTTCTTTAAGTGGGGCATATGCTCAGTGCCGGGGAGTTATTGGCTTGTGGAGAAGCTATGTCTTAGATTTAGGCACTCCATTACCAAAAAGGAACGAACATCAGTGTGTCGAGGAGCTAAGATGACTGTGTGTGTGATGTGGCTGGAACTCTGGGTGATTGATGATGGACGGTACTAAAAGCATACCAAAAATACTTCGACAATACCTCTAACATGGTCTCGGGATTATCCTTGCATGAAACAATAAACAGGCGGAGAGAAATCCGAGTGGATGGTAATGTGCAGATGACTTGTCAAAACATCACCTATGATATACAATCTTCATATAATTAGAGTGCACTGTGCACAGTAAGCCTTCAGGCTATGGCAGGAACTATCGAGAGTACTAGGCTGGGCTTTATAAGAAGCAATATCAACCGAAACCCGTGTTCTTTATGCATTCGATGTTATGTTACGTTACCAGACATGGCATTCCTGAGCCACGAGATGTGAAATGATTTACGATGATATCATTGGATTCTTGGACGCCTCGCGGCTTTTTGGTATCCAATAATGCTTGGGGATTGGGAAGAGGAAAGTAGGGAAGGTTTAACCTTGAGTATGGGGTCGGAACCTTTGGTCATTAAATATATCTACACAATACGCCATTTTGCTGCATCGTCTTGTACGGACCTATGATAAGCATATTATTGGTAAATTTGAGATGGTACATGAGATTGCCTTGTTAGTGATTGATTGATCTTGCCTGTGTGTAGGGGTGATCAAGGCCGTGTCCGTCGCACACGGTTACAAGTTACATAACAGCAGAGCTGGTTTAAATTTCCCTCAAGTTTTTTTTTTGTAGGATGACTCTTCTTGGCGGGCGGGCAGATGGAAGGCTGGCATTTTTAGTCACTTCACTTCAGCTCGAGCTGAGCCTAGGAGTTCTTTTTTATCACCCTTTTCTTAATTAATGTCTCTATGTCTCGCATATGAAGCTACCTAGAACTCAAGGAGATTGGGCGTCTCAGAGGGATCAGATAATCTTGCTTTGACACTTGTGGTAGATCCCGCTTAGCTTTGCCGGAAACAAATGGGCGTACCATATATAATTATTATTTCTGAACGGCGAGTACTTTCATTTGATCAGTTAGATGGTCACGTTTATACGGCAGCATGAATGGAATAGCAGTGGAAATATTCAAGCTTCATATTGCAGTATTTCAGAATTTCAATAGAGGCAGCGGCCCTTTATACGTTCAGATTCCACCTCTTTTATAACAGTAGATATTTTGAACAAAAGCCTCAAAAACATCACTTACGTCATGAAGTTATGTTTTACTCATGGTACCTACTCATCATGGTTACTTTGCTAAAGTCGGGAGGCCTACGGTTTATGTGAAATCTAAGTGGGAAAGAAAAACACTGCGATTCAACTTCAACGACGTCATCCTGCCCATGGAATGAATTTGCTCGTCTTAAGCATGCGCCACTTTATAGGGTGCAGATACCCTGGCAGGTATTTGCCAGACTTGGCTTTGTGGTTAAGGATGTATGTCGCAGATAACTGAGTTGAGCCATAGATTTGTAGGGATTTTGGAAGGCTTTTGATACCGGATGGGGTGCATTTTGTAGACAATTCACCCCGGAATGAGTCTGACTTCAAGATCCTATGGGATTGTTGGGCTACTTGTGGGTATAAAGGACAAATTTGAGAGACACGGGGGTTATTGCGAGGCGTAGTGCAGCTTTGGATCTGTCTACAGAGTTGGGTATCACACTTTGTGCATGTATTTTGAGGGTTTACTTCCTCATAGCATTGTAAATTTACCTAGCCTCTAGATATTTTCAAACCAAACCTTTGAAAGAGCTTATAAGAAGGTTAGCGTTTTGCATTTCATCTTCATAGTGGTAAAGAGTTTGTTTATATCCCAGCTCGCTATTTAGGCAATTTGGGTTTATAATTATAGGTCTGATATGGGGATTGGTGGGGTTATCATACTTTGGAAATGAAGTTATGAATAATAGAATATTACTAGCTGAATAGTGGGAATGTGGGGACAAAAGATACCGAGGAGATTATTGTTGCTACATCTGAACGTGGACGCAGTTAATTTTTGTCGTCATTTTCCTGTTCTGCTTCGTGTGTTTTGAGGTTCGAGGTTTTCCGCGTAACGTTTGGCTCTTTGAGTTCTGGAATTATTTCCAGCATCTCTTTCGCATGTGATCCTACCCATCTGATTATTCTGTCCCTGCAAAAGGGCCCTGATGTACTCGGTCAGTGGAAGAATATGTCTATTAATACCTAGAGTGATTAATTGGTGAATTATTTTTGCACTGTTTACTGTCCTTGGTGAAATTTCAGAGCCGGAAAGGGTCCGCTATACGAGCGGGTACACTTTGTTCCTTATATTTGATTTACCAGCTTGGTCCTTCTATCGATATCACAAATTTCGACCTGGGAGCGCATGTTACAAACTCTAAATGTACATGTACACAGAAGGATCCAGGATGTTTTGGATTTATACTGATGCTGCTATGATTAGTAAAAATTAGACAGCAAGCTTCCATGATATCATTATAATGTTTTCCCTTTATGCTAAAGCTAGCCCGGCTAATTTCTGAGTTTCTTCTTGGGAGCTCTTTGTATGTCAAGCAGATTGACATTCTAGTCAATGCTAACTACCTCCTTGAGAATGACGTAATTTAGCTTCGCGAAGGTTCGAAGGACTCGATCTCGTGAAACTACTGTCGTAAATGGTGTTATATGCTCTTTAGCTGTGATGAGAGCTCCGAAAGAAGGCCGTGTGGGCTCTACAAGCTTGTAGAATGCTCAATCAGCGGAGGAAAATTTCAATGACGTGGACTATTTTTGCTATTATCTTACACAGCAATGGAAATTGAAATGCAGTCACGCTTTTGATTTGAATTTCCCGCTCACTTTTCCAGACTATAGGCATAATCCATGATACCATCCACTCCTCTTTTTCCCACTTTCGCCTTTTTATACAAGAACTATGAAGCTGAGTGCATTTAGTATTAAAGATCTGTCAAGTCGTCCAAAACCTCTGTGAAGAATTGCTTTGCCGTGGTTCGGACGCCAAGAAGAGTTTAAGTTGATCGAGAGCTGAATGTGGAGGATTCCTTGTTCAAAGGTGTCGGTGCCGAGGCATATTCACGGTGGCAATGAGGTTGAATTGATTGTCACTGTTCGTTATCGTTGCTTAACTTCGACCGCCAATAAGTCTCGGTCAACAGTGGTACAGTAGTCTTTTGACAAATGTATTTTCAAATTCTTGAGTCTCAATACTCCTTTAGGGTTTTCTGCGAATTAAACAAGAACATCCATTTCTGGGTGACCCGAAAAGCCAATCCGCCCCATCATAATTTTTGCTATCCGCAGGAGAAAGTCTGCATATTAATTTCATAGCATTTTGGAGAGTTTAAATAGCACATGATACTTAATTTACCTTCTACAGGGGGAATGGAGCCAGCTCCTCATTCACTCATTGCCTAGATAGTGTGAAACTTAATGCGATGTGTTTATAATTCTTCTTTAGAAATAGCACTAACTTCTGGAAACACAATCCAAGGAACTCAAAGATTGACAATCATTTGCTGGTCGCACCTCTGCTGTCTTTCATTTTAGCCTGGACTTCAAATGAAATCTGTTTTCCCAGCTTGTTTGTACAATCATCCTGAATATCTCATCTGATATTGTTTACTTATTTATTTGTTGTTGTCTTTTTTTTCTGGAAATTATAATAATAGTCGACCCCTCATGAATTCGCGCCGTCTGGTTCTTAAATTGATTTTAAAACAAAATATCATTTAATTATCATATACCGCGCCTTGTATATTCATATAGAAAGTATATATATGTATTCTCTTTTTCCATTCCAGCTTTTCTGTGGCTTTCACAGTTTCTTGATAGAATTTTTAATGTATTTATAAATACTCAAATAAATGTCTTTTATATAATACAATTCTTATAGAGACCAGATTCACATATTTTAAAGTTATTATTACTCACTCACCTTCATAGGTCATGAAGGACTTCTAGAAAGAGTTGATATACGTATGATTGGCCAAAAAAAAATGTCGTTCTTATCTTTTTCAAAAATTTTGTCTTTCAACTTTTATATAAATTATGACCGTGTGTAGTTACAACACCAAAAAAGCAGATAGAGACCAGGGACAGTATTACTCATGGGATAGAATGGGAATTTCTTTTTTGCTGGTTAGGATGTAGTACGAGTCTTTTTTGATTCAAATTCCATCACGAAGTTGACAAACCACTTTTCCCTGATTCACATAATCAGCTGAAGATGTGGCTTTTTCCGCTGCTGTACTTACTTCCACCGTTATCATAAATTCCATTTCTGTTTTTTTTGACAGTACTTAGCGCAATTTTGACGTCTGTATTTACTAGGCTGTACTGCATCATCATTCTTTCTTGCTGTATCCAAATGTATCCTTGAATATTGTCTGCCCGTCATGACTTGGAAGATCTCATCGCGCTCTACTTTTGATTATGTCCTTACTTCTTCATTGAAAAGAACTCTCTTCGCCCAAAGAAAAACTTTTCGTGATTGGAAACGCGAACCCGATTCTGAGTTCACTACAAGGGTAGGCTGGTCTATATATAGATATCTATCATTGGGTATGATAGATACTACATGACAGATTAGAGATATATCCACTCCCAATTTTCTGTCAAGGTTTAAAATTAGTATCAGAGTATGCTTTGGTACTTTTGAGATATCCGGGAGCTATATTCAGTCTTCAGTAAAATAGAATAGCCTATTTACTGTACCTTTGCTTTCACTAGCAGTCTAGCGCACGCAGGCTGTCTCCACGCAAATATATTGTTAACTCTATCACTCCGCTCATGTAGACTTACACGATATTCTTTTTCTTGCCTCAATTGACGGTACGTCAATCTTTCATTATCACCCCTGTTCAGCTGATTTATTTCCGTTGTCATCAGTCAAGATTTTGCT